GGAGATCCTTGATGACGACACACTTTATTCTCATTGGTCAGATTCTGTGATGACAAGCATGACGTGTTGCGTGCTTATTCTAACAATTCAATTCCAATATTGCTCACAAATCTGTGTTTTTATAACAGTAAAAGCTTTTTTAGTGTAGTTGCACTGTTATCTTGAGTCATTTTATTAAAAACACTGATAAAAGCATATATACCCCCACTTTATTGGTATTTAGTAGCCTATGTTTATGCTGAACTTTATTCTTGAACAGATGGCGCTGTATTAAGCAGTATATAAAAAGTGTTACATCATGTCAATTTCTAAACTTACTGTTGTCTCTCAGCTGGGCCTTTCCGGAGTGAAACTATGAAAACTTCTTCCTCATAGCCTCATCATAATTCCTGCAGAATTAGACATAAAATGTGTTTAGTAAAGGAAAATATTTAATTGGATAGGTGAAACAATACAAAAATGGATAATAAAACATTGCAACAACCTTCTGAACTTATGTATGTTACCATTTATAATCTCTGAAGATAAGTTGACCCAGTCTTGTGTGTAGGATACTGTAGAAAAGAGGAAACATTATCTGAGAAAAATTACAGTATAAATATAGTTTTGACATTAAATATATTAGTTTTACACAATATAAATAATTAGTCTTACCTGGTTTGTGCATGATGCTGAAGTTCTTCTCAGAACTGTGCAGGCTTACAAATGTTTCAGTCTGTAGCTGTTGATGTCCTCAAGAAGTGTGACCGGAAATCAGTTCAAACACAAAAGACTTTGTAGCAGGGGATTGTGTGTGTGTGCGTGTCTGTGTGGCGTGACGGGATCATTTATAAAGAGTTAGATATATGGGAGACAAGGGCTGTTTGACACACTTTTAACAAAATATTTCTCAGGGCAGATATATTTTGAAACTATGATTGTTTATTTATATATAGTTTATAATTATTCATATATAAATACTCTGCTAATTTTGACTAAACATAACTATTGAACAGTTTCACTGTTATTGTCCTGGAAAAGACACACGTCATAACACACTGACTTTTTGGGGGCATGAATCACTATTGGTAGAGATACTGCTGGAGAAACCACACTTCTCCCCCTTCACAAATAAAGGACTAAGTCTTAATTTCTGTGAAATAATATGGCAAGAAGATTGAAACTGAGGAGAGAGGATGCCTTTAAATTATAAATTATACATAGATTTGTTCTCTAATCATTCCGTCAACAATGATACATTTAAATTATAATAATATTTTCTTGTACTGTATGTTTGATCAAATAAATGTTGCTATGGTGAGCATAAAATACGTCTTGTTGAAAACTTTTGAATTGTAGAGTATTTTCTGCTTAAAGCACATCATCAACATGATATTGTCATTTATCAGGATGTTTGTTACATTTCAACACTTGACTTGTGTCGTGTATATTTGAGATAGTGCTGAAACAATGAACATTAAACTGGCTGTATTGATTTATAAATAACGTTATGACATTGTGTCTGTCATCAGGACCCTGTTTAAGTTTGTGAAGAAGTTTGAGGCGGCACTGAAGGAGCCGTGTGCACTGAGTCTGGTGGAGCAAGGCAGTAGCAGTAGCATGGATGATGTGGATTCACAGCCTGAGGAGACTCCTCTGCACAGAGTTCATCGAGCACTGAGAACTACCCTGCCTGGGAAGGGCAGAGATCTACAGGTACTGTAACCTTAAGCTGAAATACCAACTCAGTTCAAACTGTCATTTTAAACTTACCTTAACTTCCATCTCAAACTCAATTTTGGAGTATCTCTTTTGCCAGTGAGACATTTTCTTTGCAAATAATATGACATGCTTCTATTGTTGTAAGTCGCTTTGGATAAAAGCAGTTTGAACAACTCTATTCTCCTCATAATTATCCTTATGGTGTCTTTTTGTAACAAAGTTGTATTTAAACGCTTTCATGCATCAGGCTGATGGTCCAGAGGAAATCTCATCTGATAAAGAGCCCTCGTCTCTCCAAG